CATGCATATGTGTCTGAATGGATGCATGATTATATCTTATGATGTGTAACAGTGGTGTCCTATAGTTTTAGATTTGCAGGCTCAGGGCTGTATAATATATTGTACATGTATAATACATGTGCATGTTTGAGTGCATGATTGTATCTTCTCATATGTAGCAGTGGTGGCCTATAGTTTAGACTTTGCAGGTTCAGGGTCATACTGGTACATATTTGTCTGATTGTATACATGGCTGGATCTTCGTATGTAATAGAGGTGGCCCATACTTTTAGACTTGCAGGCTCTAGCCCATACTGATACATATATATGTCTGATTGTATACATGACTAGATCTTCTTGCATAACAGTGATAGCCTCTTTAGACTCAGATTGGTCGCTATGCTGGTATGTACATGTTTGAATATATGCATGACTGTATCTTCTGCTGTGTAAAAGTATTGCTTCATTCTGCAGGCTCACAGATTGGCCACAATTTTGTAGTATATAAAAACGTTACCTAAAACTCATTATTTGTAATCTTTATGATTTTTTCAATATAAGTATAATTTTTATAATTTTGTGTACTTTCGATTCTACTTCATTTTTTAAAAAAATTGTATCATTGTTTCTAGACAATCCTAGAAGCTGTTCTTCCATTTTATCTAAACCATCTGCAGAGTCAAACTCTTAAGAAGGAAACCCCAGGAGGTGCTCGCACTGAAATACAAGCAATCCACAGTATATCTGTTTGTATGAAAACCCTGATTACAAACTGTGAGGTTCTTGCTAGGTAAGATTTTATTGTTCTGAGATCAATACAGACACAAAGTTCATAAAATAGTCTTATTATTAATTACTAGTAGGCACAGTCTCTATATGTGTTTTGAAAAACAGAACTGAAACTTTTATTCTACATTTTAGAGCACTGATACTGACTTTTGTTTTTCTCAGTGGGTGCTTGTTGGTGAAAATCATGTGTGAGGGGGGGTTTGCTGTGTAAGCAAAGCAACATTCTTGATTTGACTATTTATTTCATAACTAGACCAAACTGAATTTTTAATTTTACCTGTACAATATGTTTAGCTTGTGGATACCTGTTAAGGCACCATTTTGTTAGTAAAGAAACTATGTCCATAAATCTAGTACTCCTTTTTCTTATGGCTCTGCCTCTTTAAATTTCATGGATATCTGATCGAATCTTCTTCACATAAGCCAGTATGCTGGGGTCTCAAAATATGAATGCATTCACAAAGTCAGCTCCTTTAGTAACAGTTATGCACATAAAAAGATTCAGTGAGTTATTTTATTTTTGCTTTGCTTTTCTTCAAAAACGCATTTTATTATGAAAAATTATGCTTGTGAGCACCCACAAGATTTTTCCATGGCTGACTGAATCACACTGCATCCATGGAGTCAAGATATATGCTATGGAGTCCCTGTGTGATGAGTCAATAGATAACAAACATAATCAAAGGTCATACTTAAAATTTACTTTTAATTTTCTTATTTCTCTTTCTTTAAGATATGCTTCTGGTTAATAACCTTCCATGTTTAAGACTTACATCTGTTCTTTTAGAATACTTTTATTTTTCATCTTCAAGGTAGTTAACTGCAATGAATACTTCAGTGTCAGCTTTGTACTCCTGAAAAGAATTTCCTGTTTTTTATATAATAACTTTATTTACAGTTCTCTTGTTTTTATTAACTTTGATTAATAAAAATGATATTTTGGATATGTAAGATAGTTTTGATTTAAAACTAAAATTTTCCATTTTACTAGTAATTTAATTAATTTGGAAATTTTGGAATTAGTACAAGAACATTGTATTATAACTATGCAGTAGTTCAGTGATTCATCTCAACTCTGAGAGTTTTGTATTTTTAAACAAGAAGGTAGGAAGTAAATATTGCATCTTTATTATTCTTGTAGCTTAAGTATGTGCTAGCTGTAAGTTCTGTATAGTTAATTAGGCACAATATTCATTTTTGTAAAATGTTTTTTAAAATATTACAGTAGCTGATTTCTTGTGAAAATATTTTTTGTAGAAACTATACTGGTCCCCATCGTGCTATAGATCTTCGTGGTTCTAGCATCAAGAATGCTTCGAAAGGTGCTTGCTCTCCACCATTTGAAGTTGATGAGGATAGTCATTCTAAGTATGTTATATTAAGTACCTTGTTAGAAAGCTTTAATAATTTATTTTTAATTCAGTCTAGTACAAAAACATAGAAGTGTGTAATAGTCATATTAAGCTTTCAAAACCATCTTTAATAATGGAAGCCTGGCATGGTTAGGTGGTTAGGGTGCTCGAATTGCAATCTTAAGTTTGTGGGTTTAAATCCCCATCCCACCAAACATGCTGGCCTTTTCAGCTGTGGGGGCATTATAATGTCACAGTCAATCTCACTGTTCATTTGTAAAAGAGTAGCCCAAGATTTGGCGGTGGGTGATGATGGCTAGCTGCTTTCCCTCTAGTCTTTCACTACTAAATTAGGGATGGCTAGTACAGATAGCCCTTGTATAGCTTTGCGCAAAATTGAACACCAACAAACAAACAATATTGGAAACCGTTAAATATTCTCTGGTTTATCGTTAACTTGTATGTGATGTTACCATAACTGTTTTCCATAACATTGTGATGCAATTAAATATATTCTTTCCATTTACTTTAATGAGAGTTTACTATAATTTTTAATGTATAAGAGTAAATGGTTTCTAAAGAAAGTATATTTCTAAAACAATAAACTTATCTCTCTGCACACAATAATTTTTTCTCCCACATCTGCCTTTGGTAGTTTGCACATAACACGAGCCTTGAGCTATTTCCCATCTAAGACGTGTTATAATGTGAACTGCACAATTACATTATATAACCATTATGCACATAAAGCCTTCCACTAATAGGAAATCAATACATCCTCCATGCACAGTAGATGCTCAAAAGTACTTGCACTCAAAATTAACTTCATCCTTATCCTTGGCACTGTCTTTAATGGATGTGCTTCTTTAGGTTTAAACTTAATCAATTTTATGATATTTTTGCTGCCTTTTCACAGTGTTAATTTTTTTGGTGTACTTTTAATTTGTTTTAACTTTGAGTTAAAACTACATCACCACTAAATAACTTCAAAAAAAAATAATTTTTTTTTTGATCCAGAGAATTGCTACAACAATCATGAATTCTCAAGTGATGGTGACTACTACCTCCTTCAGAGGCTATGGCAATGTTGGCAACACTGCCCTTTCTTTGTCTGTAGCCACTGGTGACTCGTTGACTGTTGAACATGTTACTTCACTGTTTGGTGCCTTCTTTGCCTCAACTTCCTGTCCCAGCATCTGAAGTTCTTTCTTGTCTTTCTGAACCCAACCACAAGGATGACGACCTTAATCAGCTCTTTCCACCTCCTGGGTTTGCATTAGTTTCCTCTTTACCTGTTGAGGATAATGTTTCTCCTTCAAACCTCTTTCTCGATTTGATTTCACAGATATGTTATTTACTTTTCTTTTTTCCTATGTTCTTTGATTTTTTTTCTGTTCCTGACTCTCATGCTGAGAATTATTTGGTTTTCCTCCTTCTCCAGACATATTTGTCCATGTTTCTGGTTTATCTTCATTCCCATTCTAAAATGCCTCCTCCTCCTCCTCAAATCTAGGATTCCTTCACTATGGCTTATAGCTGTTCCCCTTTTCTGTTCTTGAACTCCCAATCTCTGAAGTCCCTTCTACCTGTTGGGCTGATACCCTATCTCCAGTAACACTTTTCCCATATTTACTTTTTTCTTACTCATCTCCTTCATCACCTATACTCTCTTCATCTCCTATCTGATGCCCTACACCATGATCATGATAGTTTTTCTGTGGATCTATGGTTGATCCTTTAGAATACCTTGGCCAGGTTTCATCTTTTACCTTGTCCCTACTTACTTCATTCCTCTGCTGCTGGACTTTCTGGAACATGACGCTCTTCTCTCTTCCATTCGTCTTTTCCAATCTTACTTCTATAACCCCCATTTGGCTCCCTTTCTGTGCCCTGAAGTCTTTGGGAGTGTTCCCAACACCTTGGAGACTCTGGTCAAGGCTGTCCAACATCATTCTCCTCCCTTTTCTGTGTGGTTTCTTGTCTCTCATAATCTCATGAGTCCACTTTGATTCTTTGACCCCATGAACCTTCTACTTCTCTCTTTTTTCCCATTTCTTGTCCCTCTACTGCTTTTTTGCTATCCCCCCTCCCATTGGGTTGGCTGTTAGTGACTCCTTCCCTTTGTACACAGGCAGCTCAGGCCTCTTAACGACACATTTATTTCTGTTTGCAGACAGACATTTTAACCCCTTTTGCTGCTGACTGGTCTCTCATAATCTCATGTGTCCACTTTGATTCTTCGACCCCATGAACCCTCTACCTTTCTCTTTTTTCCCATTTCTTGTCCCTCTACTGCTTCTTGCTATTCCCCTCCCATTGGGTTGGCTGTTAGTGACTCCTTCCCTTTGTACACAGTCTACTCAGGCCTCTTAGTGGCACATTTATTTCTGTTTGCAGACCTTTTAATCCCATTTGCAGCTGACTGGTGGGTCATTCAGGCCCTAACACATAGCATTTCTCGTCTTTTTTTTCTCTATTCTCTTTTTCTCTTCCATTTCGTTCAATACTCAGTGCCTTCTGCATGTTCAGACCATGGTATTAGATCTTTTGGCCATGAAAGCCATTGAGAAGATCCTTTGCCTCTCTCTAGGGTTTTATTATTGTCTTTTTGTTGTCCCAAAAAAAGACCAGGGACTTGTATCCCGTCATCAAACTTTCTTCTTTGAACCATTATTTAATGATTTCTTGGTTCCAGATAGAGGGATTTCATCCTCTCTATTAGTCCTTTTACCCTGGACTATAAATAACCAAGGTTTATGTCTCAGACATCTTTCTCTACATTCTGATTGCCCTGTCCTTTCTGTTGTTTCTTTTGTTTCAATCACTGGGATCAGTTGTACCAGTTTTAAGCTCTCTCCTTTGGCATTGCTTCAGCTTCTTATGTCTTTAGCCAAGTCATGGGAGCTTTTTCTCGCTATACTCACAGTCCTGAACTTCATTTCCATTATTACATGGACAACTGGCTTCTCCTTGCCTCTTCTCAGGAGGCCTCCTTCTCGGCCATGTCACTTCTCCTCCAAAAGGCAACTTGTCTAGATTGGCTAGTCAAGATTTTCCAAGTTGTTCCTGACTTCAACTCAATATTTGATTCACCTTGGAGTCATTCTCACTTCTCAGCTCAGTCGGACTCAGGCTTTTCCCATTTGTCTATGGGACATGGAATATCTAGTCACTTCAACTGTTGCATCTCCTATACTTCCTGCATGAGAGGTTTTATCTCTTTTGGGAATTCTGATATCTCTAGAACATCTTGTCCCTCTAGGCTTGGCTCACATATGGCTTCCCTCTCTTGTGATGCTGCCACCTTCTCGAGAATCTGTCTTGGTGGCTGAATCATGCCAAAACTATGATTGGCATCCCACTGTGCCCACCATCTGGATTTCCATCTCTTCACTGACACGTATCTTACATGATGGAGCATGTTTCTGGATGACCCCACAGCTTCGGCATTTTGTTCTTCTGTGGAGCATACCTTCCATATCAATGTTCTACAGTCATTCCCATATCAATCATTGGGGTGGGAATTGCTTCAGAGACCTTTGTTTCCACACATTAGACTTTCTGTTTTAGGCTCACTCACATTAAGTTTATCTGACAGACTGTCATGTCCTGGGAGCTTTGAACTTGGTGGCAACTCGACTTTATCAATCAGATAAGATTCATTCTATAGAGCGATCACTATCATCAAGTATTTGTTGGATTTGTTCTGAGTTGGGCACACCAATAATTGATGCCTTTGCCACTCCTCTCAATACTGAACTGGCTAAGCAGTTCTGGTTGTGGATACCCTAAGCCAGGACTGGTCTCATTTCTTTTCTGTATGTGTATCCTCCTCCTTGCCTTCTCTAACCTGTCTTGGCATTGATTTGCAACACTACTTTTTAGATTCTACTGGTAAAACCTTTTTGGTTAGTTCATTCTTGATTTCCTCTTCTTCACCAACTGGCATCCAGGGCACCTCTTCCTACATTGCAGTCACTTTTGCTCCAGCCTCATACATCTTTCACCTGGGAGTGTCCTCCCTTTGCTTTCATGCATGGGATTTGTCTGGTCCATTTCTCACCAGTCATAGCCCACTCTTTTCTTCCTTGGGTGGCTCCAGAGGGAGAACATGCATGTCCATTAATCTTGACTTTCTTTGGTTGTACTGGCCCTGTTCACCTTTTGTATCTGGTTCAGGTGGTAAAGAGTTACGTTGGCATGCATGGCTCCATTTTGTGGTTACTGCAATAGTTTATTCTTGCCAGAGGACCCCTCTTCTTCCAGGGATCTCTCATCCTCTGTTCTTTCTAGATAGATTCATCAGCTCATCCAGGTTTTATATTCCTCCCAGGATGGAGATACTTGCAGGCTGTGTCACGCCTCATTGCATACAATCTGTCTCTTAACTCACTCTCTGGCCTCACACCTTCGATGTCCCTTGGACAAGGTTCTCCAAGTTGGAATAAGAACTATGCCCAATACCTTTGTCTCCCAGTATTTCCACCTTCTGATGGTTTCAGCTCCCTCAGGTTTTTGTTTCCCTCCAGTTGCCATTATCCAGTCTACTCACCATCTTTAATGTGTTAGTACCTTTCTTATTTCTTTACTTATTTATAATGTACTCCCATTCCATTCACTTCTCAGAACCCACCTTGCAGCTGGTGTTGCCTTACAGGGTATTCTTCCTTAAACCTACATTTAGTTAGGGGGAACAGAAAGCATTAAACCCATTTGTCTTGGATCCTAATGTACACAGTGTTGAGATTGGTTTTTCCACAAAACCACTATAGTGGTATGTATATATTTCATTGTCCATTTCAGACTGTACTTTCCATGGAATATCATGGAAAAAGCCAGCACCAGGAAAGTGTCTGCTCACTTACCTAGCTCATGCATACCAGCCTTTTAAATTAGATTTTTCTGTAACTTATTGCACTTTTTCCAGTAAAAGACATTTGTGGTGGTTAGGTCCAATAGGGTCTAGTCAACTTTCTGATGACTCCCCAGTGTGCATTCCTCCCCCATCTCCCTGATCATTGAGTGGTACACAGGAGACCCTTGTCACTACCAATTCCTAGCTGCTTGGTTGGTTGACTTGGAGAGTTACTCACTGGCTGAGTGGTCCCTCCAGAGAGAGACTGAGTGGGAAGTAGGACATGGATTGTACATGGGATTGTCATTTCCAACTGACCTGTTGTGTGCAAATGCTTGGTTGGTCATGTCTATTTCTGCCCCTATAGACGTGGCCTCATTTTGCTTCATCCTTTCATATTTCCATCTGGGTATAGAGTAAACCCTGCATGAGATGGATGAGGTCTTTCATGTGTGTTACCCCTCTAAGTAAGCCCTCATTATAGAGTATCACACTCCATAGATTCACCTAGGTTTTTGCAATTGCACTGGCCCCTCCATCACATCAATATTTAATTCTACCTACTGTAGAGGCAAGTCTATCATTTTGGAAGTTAACATTTTCCTTACCTAAAAATGTATTTTTGATAAGACACATCTCTTCCCACCCTTCCTCCTTACTACTGTTGAACATTATTCTTGCCTCGTCTAAGACTGAAGTTAATTTCAAATGTAAGTGCTTATGTGGATCTACTATGCATGGTAGATGTGATGCCCTCCTACTGGTGGAGAGCTATTGTTGCATTATGATTACATCATGCACTAGCACAGTTCATGTTATAACATGTGTCTTAGGTGGGAGATATCTCAAGGCTAGTGGCATGCACAAAATATCAAAGGCAGACATGAAAGGAATAGCTACTGTGTGTAGAGAGGTTAGTATCTATCAGAAATGTATTTTCAGGTAAAGAGAATGTTAACTTTATCTATTCAATGCTATTTCAAATTGTTTGAAATTGCATTGGGTCAATATGACCCAAAACGTATGTACCTAAGTTCTGAACATAATAGGAGTGTTAACTGTCATTAAAGGTTTTATCTTTCAAATTTTATTTCGGGACAAAATGGAAATACTTGTCTTAGTTATAGTACTACTAGATACTAGGTTTTTATAGAATGGCAGGTAAGGAGATGTTGATTTAGAAATATATATAGCTTCTAGTTTATTTGGTAGCCCTTATGAAATAATTTCAATCCTTAGCAATGTTATTGATTTGATTCTTTCAGGGCGTCAGGTCCCTAATCAAATAAATTAAATGAATTGACTATATAAAAAGCATTGTGACCACTACTATGTTGTATCCCTACTAGCCTAATGAGCCCTGGTATTGGGCAAAATTGCCTCATCGACACTGGATTTGGCAAATAAAGTATGGTTTACACATTATTTCATTCTTCCCTACCTTCACTCATAAGTTTTTTCAGTGGCAGCTAGCAGTTAATATTGAGAAGGAGACCAGTGATATTTTAACCCCAAACTTAGAAAAATTGAATAGTTAAAGATGTATTTACTTTAGGTGTCTAGATTTTTATATATATATATATATATGTGTGTGAGTTGAGTCATCAGTCTTTCATTGCTGTAAACATGTTAACTACCAACTGCTGTCATACCATACAAGGCCTAACTATTGTTTAAACTTTAAAACTCTTAAAATAACTTCCAAATCAAGATAAATTGTCACATTTTTTCACCAAGTCAATGCACATCATTTAATGAAACTCACTGTTAATTGTTTGTATCCTTAAAAACACTGAACAGTCACATAAACATTAACTTTATACCAGCTCTTTATCACTGTGACCTTGTGAAGCTTGCATACTCCTCCTATTGCAAACTTCTCTTAAGATAATTTTTTTTGGTTCTCTCAGCTGTTTTCATCACAAGTTCAGATTTTAAAAACAAAGAGCCAAGAGGAGCAACTGTTCTGCATCTCATAAGATGTCACCTCAATGAATGACAAAGTGCAAGAGAAGATTTTTGACTATCTTGCTACAGAAAACATGCAGTTTTTCAAAACTTTTACACCCAAAACAAATAAAATATAAGTATTCATATAAAAATTAAGAAATATTTTATTTGTTCAAAATCTTTGAGGAGCTATGGCCTCTTTATTTTCTCCTCCTGAAAGCTACCATTGGTTCTTATAGTAGCATTAATCTCATCTGTTTTTAAAGTTTTTTCAGTGCTTCCTTAAAAACATTTGTCACTTTACTCATGCATGTATTCAATCCTTACTGTAGCTTTTACATCTCTCGTCGACAGCAGCAGTCTCAGTATGATCGACATGTAGAAGACAGTGAGATACTACGTGCAGAATTTCGCAAGCCTAGAGACACTATATTGTTTGTGATTTCAGAGTTTCTCACTACCTGCACTCGACGACTTGCAACTCTTAGCAAAAAAGTTCCTGATTTAACTTCGAAGGCAACTGAACTCTTAGATTTGAAGTGCCACTTAGTGAGTGAAATTTTAAATTAAATAATGAGCAGTCAAGATCAGAAAATGCTTTTTTAGATGTTTTAGCTTATGAATAGCAAATATTGCATTATCAGTAGATTAGTGGTAGAAATTAGGTATGGTTTGTAAAAAATTTTTTATTTATCATTGTTTTTGTTTTCAGTGTTATTTCATTTGAGTAATTATGTGTTATACTTTTGTTCAGCGTCTAGCAGAAATTGCCCATAGTTTATTGAAAGTATCACCATACGATCCTGCCACCATGGCCTGTAGAGGACTGCACCGCTATATGAATGAAGTTCTTCCTAATACTGAGTGGGTCCAGGAAGCTATGCGTCCAGCTCTCATAATGGTTCTACGTCGATTGGACAAGACATTTAATAAGATAGCTAAGAAGCAAACTATAAAGGTATGTTGGATCAAAATTATTTATTGTGCCTTTGAATTAAACTTTTGTAATATTTCTTTTTTTTACATGCTTGTTGTTAAGGAAAGAATATGTATTGTTTTATAAAAGTACTTAGGCTGAATTGTTTTTACAAATAAATTTAGTTGCTCAGTACAGTTTATTTTGCAGAGACTGGTTGACTGGGAAGCAGCTAGATCTCTACTAAAAGGTAAAGAAAAATTAAATTTAAATCTTTTTTTTTTTAGTTTGTTGTAACAATGAATGAGCTCAGCTCAATATATTATTTTTAATAAATATTCAGTCAGTTGCTAAACCAGCATTTATAAGTTTATTATTATTTTTTTTTTACACAACTTGATACTATCATCCAAACTCTTGATACCCTTCAAATACAGACATGATACTTTGTTAAATTTATCTATACTTTTTACATTATGCATATTAAATTGTTGATAACCTTCAAATACAGACATGATGCTTTGGTAAGTTTATTTATAACTTTTACATTATGTGTATCAAACTATTGATACTTTGTTAACTTTTATAGTTTGTATATTATGTGAAAATGCTTTAGAAATGGTTTACTTATAGGTAATTTATGTGGTAACATCTTTTGAAATATTAAAGTATTCTGGATGATACTGTTGTAAAGTAAATTGGTTTCATGATATGAAAATTATGAATAAATTTAAATGAAAATTTAGCAGGATATTTATAATCTGACCTTTGTATACAAACTTGTGGCTTGATTAACAATATCCAGGTGTTTGTTCACAATGATGTGAACAGGTGGTCAAAAGCAAAAAATACAATAGTTGACTAGATGTGTATATATAAAAGCTCAAATTGTAATTTTTTTATGTTAAGTTTTACAATAGTTTTACACAGAAACAATTGTTTTGTTCTTCAAATGACAGTTGACTTTGGATATTATATTGTACATATTTTAATTAATAATCATGTATTATGTATCACTGTTAAAGTATATACTGAAATGAAATCAGGCATTTATAATAAAGGTGTGGTAATACGATACAGTTTATGTATCTTCACAAAATTTGGCAAGCTTTCAGTAAACATTATAAGTCTTTTGTACAGAAAAAATCAGAATTTCTAATAAAGTATTTTTGCTAAAAATTAATGATTCAATAAATGAAGATGGGTATTGAATACTACATGTTGTCTTCATTTCTTCTATCAAAACATTACATGCAATGTAACATAACAAATTAACAATAACAAAATAGATAGACAGATATTAACTTTTTTATTTTACTTCTCTTGCCAGCTGCCATTTAGTTGATCAAACCTGAGAATTTGAAAAAGCACTGTAAAGTGTGAAATACTTAAATAATATAGATAATAAATTACAGACAAGACTGTCAAACTTTGTAACAAACCATTGGTAAAACTGTATCTAGATATGTATCGTATGGTGGCATCAATATCTAGATATGTACGTATCAACTACTATGATGAGATAAGCACCCCTAATTTATAATATTGCAATTAGACTTATTCTTTATGTTATTTTCATTTTAGTAAAGATTATTTATAAAAAAAGGAAGTCGAATGTTATTACTATTCATCATATACGTTTTTTGATAGAAAAATTAATTTTATTTGGTGGATAATTTTAATAAAGGTGTGTTTACATTTGTTGTTTTCTTCAATTTAATTGTGTATAAATGATATCAACTAGTCTGTAAACTATCAATCTGCATAGATAGATGTTTCATGTTGGTTTTAACTTTTGAATAAACAAGCTTTTATAAGTGTTTTATGTTGGTTTTTAATTGTTAGATTAGTGAGTTGAGTTTCACAGGTTTTGGTAGTTTTTTTTTTTCTTTCCAGCTGTCTAGATTTTTGTTTTTATGTTTATTTTCAATTAGTACTTGAATTGGAATGAATTGTGTTGATTTAAGTTTTGGAGTTATTTTCACATTAGTATTTGGGTTGGGATGTGTTACATTGGTTTATGATGCCTCACTGTGAAGCATTGCAGAGCAGGGCATATTGGTTTTCCCATGTCTGTCTGTTTGTTCCAACTTCGTAGACAGGATGTTTCAAAATTGGATGGATGTATTTTGGCCAAACTTATACAACAGGTACTACATACAAAGCTCTAGACCTTATTAACTCTTGATGATTATAGGTCAAAAGAACAGTGGTATGTAGAAAATCTTCTCCAACCTTGTTGACATTATATTTCAATATTGAGTGAATGAATAGTGACCAAACATACACAACAGGCACTACATACAAAATTCTAGACCTGATTAACCTTTGAGGTTATGGATCAAAGGTCACTGGTGCATAGAAAAACCTTCTTAATCTTGTTTACAGATACTACATCATCAAATTAGGGGAACATAAATGTGTAGTAAAACATTAATGGGGACATAGGTGTTTCATAAACAGAATTTGCACTTGTTTTACCTTGCATTACATATTTATATTTTGAACATCACAGAATATATATATCTATATATTAGAACAATATGACATGATAGTGTTTGTGTTAGCTGTTTAAAATACATTTTACTTTGTTGTTAAATTTGGATTAAACTACACTAAAGTTAAAGCTAATTGTAATTTATGTATTGTATCATTTACAAATCACACACTTGTGCATATCCTAATGAACTGGCTAATTAAGACCATCTGCCTGAACAGCAAAATCACAATACATTAATGAGCCACCCTCTAATTTATTTTCACAATCACTGAAAATAATGAATCCATAAAGACCAAATTACAACATTAGTTTAAATTTAAATAAGTGAGTTTTCTTTATTTTGTAAAGTTCTCTCGTCTTGTGCACTAGTTAAGAAGCAAAAGTCCTCATTGGATGGACACAGTCAAGATGTGATGATGAATAGTAGACGAATTATATGGCATAAGTTGCACATGCCCCCTGACTTGAGAACCTGTATTGGTTTGAACACAATTAGTAATGATATTTATGGTACCCACATTGTAGATCTTTCTTTATACTTTCTTATTCAAATTTAATGCATGCAGTCCAGTTAACACCTTACTATGTAACACATTTTTAATTTAGGGATCTAGATAACTGTTTATCAAATTCTTTATTAAAGATAATGTGAAGGAGTTTTTTGTTTTCAACTATTAACGAAAAACTTGTGAGGAATTGACTATCTTTTAGGACTAATGTACTAAATTACTGATCAAATTCTTAAACATAAAACTATTAAAATGAAATTATAAATAGTGAAGATTGGTTTATGGAAACTGAACTTGAAAATTGTTACCTTAATTAAGTTATTTATAGCTCAAGAAAATGTAAGATAGATTTTCTTTGCTCTCTTACTGTAAATATATTGTTAAGATGTTGAGAATTTAAATATTTAAGAAAAATGAATATACATTATTTTTCTTTAAATACAACAAAAGTATTATCTACATACCTTTTATATCCTATCTCTTTTATTTTTCATTTTTTAATCAAGTTAAAGTTTCCACAATATTTTTCTTTAGCCCATCTGATTAGAAATAAGAGCAACAATCAGATTTTAAGAGATATTCTAAGTGTGAAAATAAAATTTTGAAATTACAAGAACATAGGTTCTGTTATGGATATTTGAAGGAATGTAAGAATTTTAATTTGTATCTTAAATTTTAGATTAGCTAATAGAAAGTTTAGAAAAAACAACCTTTACACTCCAGATATATATATAAAATATATTTGTTTTTAACCAATGTTTCGCCTTTGCGGCTTCCTCTGGATTAATATTATATATTGTATATTAACCCTGAAAGGTGAAACGTTGATTAAATAGAAAATATTTTATATATATCTGGAGTGTAAAGGTCGTTTTTTCTAAACTCTTTATCAAAATGTGTAAATCCCTCCATTATGCACTACAAATTTTGAAAGACAACAAAAAATTTCTAGCTAATAGAAACTTTTAAATAACTAAGAATTATCATTTCTTAAAGGCTAGATTTCTAAAGGCAAAATTAAGATTGAAATTTAGGTTACAGAAAAGGTTTATTATCATTTGGAGACACTCGATAATTTAGCTAATGAAAATATCAACATGTGATCACATCATGTAAGAAAGATTTTTGATGTATTAAAGTAATTTTAACATTGCTTATTTAGTTGCACATGTACTATTCTATCTGGTCAAGATAGTAATGACTTCGTATGAGATTAATAGAACAAAAATTAATAGTAAAGCAATTGAATGTTAGAATTTACTAAGAAAGGAACTGACAACTACAAGAAAAGCATATGAACAACAAACTAGAGAAGACAGTAAAATAAAGACAGAACTTTTACAGTAAGTCTCAGCTCACTCTCAGATCAAAGACAAAGTTCTGTCATGAAAGGTTAGAACAATTCTGATATGAAACCACCAAATTTGCACTCAGGATACACATTATTTCTGTAACTAACCAATCAGAAAATAGGAATCCAAACACAGAAATATCTCTTATATATTGTAGTTTACTAGCCAATCAAGATAATAGTAACTTTTATGTATGAGATAAAACGAACAAAACTTAATATTAGCATTTAGCTAAGATAATTAAAATAAAGGCATACAATTAATAAATTCGATAATACAGTAAAATAATAATGGAATTTTTACAATAAGTCTTGTCTCTCTCAGATCAAAGATGTAGCCCTCTCATCGAAGATTAAAACGATTTTGATCTCAAAGCACTAAAATTGCATTCATAATATACACTCTCTTTGTAGCTGACCAACCAGAAAACAGGCACTCAAACACTGAAATATCTTGTCCATGTGATAGCTACAAGACAGTGCTATACACACAGGTTGAAGTAGAAAACTATGCAACTATTCCATTAAAAAAGTTAATAAGTTCCTTAATCAGACAGTCTCCCAAAAGTAACATATAAGGCTAAATTGATTGTATAACCTCAATTAGGTTTAAGGTGTTCCATATAAGAACTTAGAAAAATTAAAAGTTTCTGTGGATATAAAGTATATACAATGGGAGAATGAGATACACTGCAGGAATAGAATGGACTCAGTGTTCTCTTGAAGTAAAGTAGAATAAAATGGTGTGTAAAGAGGAATGAAATAAATTGTGTAATTTGGAAATAGTATGATCATTATTGGAATAGTAAAGTTTAAATAAAATAGAAAATAGTAGTATCAGTTCTTTGGGATATTTGCTAAAGTTTGCTTAATTGTGTCTCACTGTTCAGCAGTTTGTTATATATGTAGTTACAAATAAGAGAGTACAACTGGCTGAAAAACAGTTGTAGCTCTGGGAATCATAAAGTTTACTTTGAGGCTATATATTAACAAATCAGAAGTATGTGTTTTCAGCAAGCTCATATCTAGCACAAATTTTCACTGCAACAGTGTCATGTTACACAGACACCCACTATTTCAAATCTCACCCTGAGTCAGGAAAGTGATAAAAGAAGTATCTTTTCAGAAATACAGGATAAAACTTTTAAAAAAGAAGCAGGAAAATTTAAGTTGAGAAAGTACTAGTGCCAAAATACCTAGGTAAAGACTACACAAACCGATGTGGATCTATTCAATATTTCACAGTTGTAGGCTAATGCAAGCAACAGGGACATCAAGAGCCAGCACAGGCCCCCGAGGCAAACAACCTTGCCAGGCCCACTTTCTCTTTATTGTTAAAATTAGCATTAAGTGGGATTTGAAGAAAAGACAATCCCGGGCCCCTCGACTGATGTCTTCTCACAACCAACTATAAAGTTTACAGAACAAATGGTGTAAATCATGATATTAATATCAAAGTCTAACTAAATTAAGTAGTTTTTCATTTAGAGGTATGCTTACTTTCATATTTTATTCTGAAAACAGAAATTTTTACATCCTGTGTAATGAAAATACATAATTTTCTAGGTGTTTACTTGACTTTGTACAAACACACATATATTGCACATCTGCCTCATCTGAAGGTAAGTTGTTTGTCTTATAAACTTTGCTTTAAAGTTATTATAAGATGATTACAATTGGACATATTTCTGTTATTCTTATTATTCTATGTTTCTAATGGAATAAGTCATTTAAAAAAATACTTAGATTAGATATAAAATTCAGTTACTGAGACATCTGTGTCTATCATTTAATTATGTTATTTGAACTAAGATTCTTCAAAGCTTGTACATGCACTTACATAAAACTGCAATAAATCTATTTTTTTAGTCTCTGACAGCTGTATGTCAGGGGATATTGCTTGGAGACAACTATACTTTACCACTCGCCACTGAAAGTCTGTCAACTTTTAACACATCTTTGGCAGCTCTGTCTCAGTCTCCACCTGCCAGTTTTGTCTCTGTGGCTGTAAGACTTATAGCAATGCAGATGTTGGCTCTTGGGGTAAGAATGTTGACCTTCATCATCACATGTTGTTGCATGGACTGAATTACTTAATTTTTCACTTTCATCCTTACTTGAGTATATCACCATTTATATTAGTTCTCTTTAGCTATGGATTTGATCATTTGGGATAAATATGACAGTCTTTAACTTTTACTCTTATATACTATATAAAGCTAGTCCTTTCTTTGTGTTCAGGTGGGTCAAATAAGTTGATTTTTAACTTCAATCCTGATTTGTGTATTGGTTATTTAGCTGCACTTTTCATTTATAACAGCTAATTACTTGGTTTTCAAATGTTTACATTTGATCATGTCTTGTAGATGTACTAATCTGCTAATCTTTTATCTTTATTTGTAGAAGTAATATTTTTATTTTTGTTTGAGTAGTCATATCTTAACTCTAAAGATGAACATTTTTTCTAAATATTGAACGTAAGCAGTTTGGTGGGGTAAGTTGCTTTTGCTGTTATCTTTATTGAGTGGATTTTTTTAATCCATAAAAAAGCCTAAAAGTTGTTTACCAAGTAAAACTTGAATTTGAATATAAGCTCTGCTTTTGTGTATAATCAAATGAAGATTGTATCTTATTATAGGATTCTCTGACCTTAGAGAGTGTCTGTGGTGGAGTAAGTGCTGTATGTTCCAGCCCAGAGAAAACTGAAATTTATCTAATGAACTTGATTCTTCCTATGTGTGTGCGTGTAACTAGTGGAATTAAAGGTAATATATTTACATATTATACATGTTCTGTGAAAGTAACCTCATATAATGTAATCAGTAATAAAAGTTTGTTAAACTTCCAATAGTTGTTATAAGTCTACCCAGGAAAGTTAACTTTTATCACACAGCAAGAAACAGAATAAAAGTTCTAGATACTTCTAGATACTTTAATAGTATTGTTACGTCTCTGTATGTTTGTTTGTTAATTTTTCTATGATACAAGTCCTTTCTTAAATAAAACTTGTTTATTCTTCCTCAATACAACTTTACAATACACTTAATTTTCACAGTTATACACACTATAGTTCACAACAATTCACTCACTTTCTACCGTGCTTGACTCAATTGTCCATCTCTATCTCCGACTGTCAGCAACTATAGTTCCGATCTCTGTATCTGCTATCCTCGGTTCCCGCCGACTGTAACTGCTGTCATTGGTTCCCCACTCTCTCTCTCCTTCTCTGCCTGCTGTCTCCTTTGTCTAGTGCACATATATATGATAATACCAGCCGTGTAGCCTGTTCTAGAATCTTCTAGACTCTCCTCACGTGCTACCATCGTCACTTGACTTCTGTGTCGTAACACACTAGCGTTTATCGCGAATCTTCTAGAATACTCGTCACGTGACCCCCGCTGTCGTAACAGTATGTTATATGTTGAAACAATTTGTTTTATAAAATATATTTTTTAATTTGTGAAAAAATACAAATGGTTTATTTGTGTGTTTGCATCAAATTAAAAATATTAATAGAATCTCATGTATTATTGGTTATAGTTTTATGTATATGAAAGAATCAAACCCAAGGCCAGATTAAGGTGTAGTGGGGGCCCTAGGCCCAGGTAATATTTGGGAATAATAATAACTTACTCTTGCATCTATTCTGCTAGTTTTACAAACCATAATTTTTTTTTACTTGGGTGACCGGCAAGGCCCCTATATGGCTGCAGGTGGCCTATGTATTAATCTGATAGTGATCAAAACTGTCGTGATAAAGACATGAATAATAAGATTCAAGTTAACATGATACTATGTCAAATCATAAAAATTAATTAATAAAACTGTTCATTAGTAGATTAAATACAAAAACTAAAGCTTCAAAGGTATTAAATGAAGAGAGTTAAAAGAAATGTTTTGATAAACTAAGTTAGGACATGGGTTGGTCTTGTGGCAAAGCTCTGGATTTCAAAGATGGCGAATCAAGTTCAAAACACTCAAAAGATTTCCCGTACTTTAGGTTGTGGGTTCATTATAAGAATGACAGTCAATCCTTTAGCATGGATGGTAGGATGATGCTGACTGGCAGCAATATAGCCTTAGCAGCTTTGCATAAGTACAAAATACAAATACATACAAATCAAGTCAAACTAAATATCTATATATATTATTTTTAAATATGATTTGTTTTTATTTGACCCAGATTCCCTGAGACTTTGTCAGATGGATATTAGTTTTGCTCTGGCTGTTATTATCCATGGCCTTACTCCTCCACAGTCCAAGAACACATCTACAGGAAAATCGGTATCTGAAGGTCAAGGACCTGAAAAATCTCCAAGGAAGCCTCGCTCTTCTCTGTTTCAAATTGGATTCCTAGGTTGGTTTTTCATTTTTAAGATTTTTTGAAGTGTTGGTAAAGTAAGTTTTAAGCACTAGTACTTTGACTTAAAAGAGTCTGAATATCCATGTTGTTGCACAAGTGATTTAATTTAAAGTAGTCTTCAAGTTTTTAGTATATGTTTAAACTGCCTTTCATATCATGATAGTTTGATAGCTTACCTCCAATGATCCACTTGTAACAGGAAAGTATATGTGAAATGTGGAGATAACAACGTTTTTCTAAAGCAGCACAGAATAGTTTATAATAAGTTGAACCCCCTTTTTTCTTTTGTCTAAGAATTTATAAAGATGGACAATTAGAGTAATTTGCTAATCAATTAATCTTCAACAAATTTATTATTGACACTTGAGACTTGGATAATTGGAAAAACTGAAAACAGTAATAATTGGAAAAATGAATTTCAATTAGTTGATACTTTTCATGACTTTAATCAATTTAATCATATTTTCAATTAACTGATTACTTTACCTGACACTAATTGATGTAATCAATATTCATAGGTAATCAAGTTAATTGCCCAGTTCCACTAAGGTTTAATTTCACTTATATTTTGAACATGTGCATATATTTTTTGTGAAAGAGATTGTGTTGTAGATCTGTTTAAAATAAATCTGATATTGCTATTAGGTTGTTAAGAAATTAATGTCACTTTTTTTTAAGTGAAAAAACCTGAACAACTTATATATCAAAAC